TTTTGTCATTCAATACCCATCCTGCTGGAGGTGAATAGGTACGAATAGTCTGGCTGTCTATAACTTCCTCATCAGGCGATGCTTCGCTTGTTGGTTGTGGGAGTTTTACCGGTAACAGTTGTTCTACTGTTACCGCACTTGCTTCTGTACTGGTACGTGCATTGTCAGTTCTCTCTGTTCCACTGTCCATTGTTTCCTCGTCATCCGATAGTTGGTCGTCATTCAACGGTTGTTCCACTGACACCGTAGTCGTCTTGCTGCGTTCGTTGTGAGTTGTCTCTCCGTCTCTACTTTCTGCTAATGTTGTCGACTTCGTTTGAGGGCTCTCTTTGACAACGTTGTCTTCAGTCAACCGGCATCCTTCTATGTCGTCCCTACGTTTCTCACCATCGGAGGAGGAGTTGTTATTTTCTTGTATTTCTTCACTTGTGCTATCGTCGTCGCTGTTTAACTCCCCACGAGCGGCCCTTCTCTTCCGGGCGAGACGTCGCGAACGTAACTCCACCACAAAACCGTCGTGGATTGTTTGCGACAATTCCTCAACGATAGGAGCGTCCTCCTCGCGCAAATCAGCATTGGATATGCGTCGCACGTGTTCGTCACTGAACAGACTTTCCCCCTCGTTTGCAGCAATCGTCAACGGTCCAGAGTGATTTGGCTCGTACCAGAGCTCATGTCGATCGATGTGCTCGCGGTTCGCGTTGATTTCTTCCGCTATCCACGCAATACAATCCATCGCGTGGTCATAAATCCACTTGTCGATTCCCGGTAGAGTTTGAGGCAATGACGTTGTTGTGAATATCTCAATTCTGCGCTTCACGTTATCGTCTTCTTCTTTACCAAAATTCGGGAGGTTATTTGTGGTGATGTAAAAGGGGCTATTATTTAATACCGTCTTTGGTAGGCCGTGCTTAACCGCAGAGACCATATGCATCCATCCGCCTTGAAGGATGCATTTGGCAAGGTCGAATTGCATCGTGCTCGCCGACCACTCGTCCACGAGGACCAGCTGAGTTTCGTTGTTAATGATAGCGGCAGAAAAATTGTCTCTCGTTTGTGAGCGACGCAATGTAGCTAGCGGGAATAACACGATGGAATATGTTGGACCAAGATGTTTTGCCCGAATCTTTGGGGCCAACCACTACCAATTTCCTCACCTTGTGAGGCATGCTGAACGCGAGCAGGCACTGATAGAGTTTATTCAGGAACCGTACTCGCACGTCGTCGTCGGGAAAGGAGTTGACAATGCCTTCTCGAAAATACCCAGGCTTCGGCGGTTTGGAACTGTCGAATGGAACAAAAGATCTTGGCGACAGTTTTCCACGCATGGATTCCGGGATAGGACAGACGATGAACTTTCGGGCTTTGATCGAGAAACAGTACCCGTTTGATACTTCAATGAGATCCACGTCAAATTTGATCTGCTGAATTATTGCGCATGCTGGATGAGACAGAAGTCTATCGACCGCTTGAAAATGCTGAATCAGCTTGTCACGCAACACTTCGTTAGCCAGAAGTTTGTGCAAGTAACTAGTTACATCCATCATTTTTACAAACGTTAAATTTGAACCCTCTGGTTTGGTGTAAATTTCTGAACGATATAAGGCGTGGTCGCATAACTTCGTGCATTTATCGATGTTGTTTATCAAGGCGGCGACATCGTTGTTGGATGAGAACGGTGGATTGTCCAACTTTACAACGCATGCATTACCGAGATCAACAACAAGTCCGTCTGATTCCAGCTTTGTAACTGCTGTAGCCACACGATCCCGAAACTCGCTTTCGTTTACGACGATTATACAGCAGGGGACATTGGGGAAATGAGTTGAAACAAACTCGGGTTGATCATCCTCTTCATCATCATCTGACGGCGTTCCCTCGGAATTCTTGCAGCAATACGCGTTTGATATTTGGAGCATTTCCTGGATGGTGTTGTTGCTGTGATCCTTGACCACTTGGAATAACTGTTTTGCAGCTTTTTCCATTACAATATTGCTATCGGATGATTTTCGCACTCGAATTCGCGATACCTCTGCATCTAATTCTTCGTTGTGAATGGTGGAAAACAAGATCTTCTCGTTGCAAGTTGCACATTCCTTGTACACGACGAAGTAGGCAATCGCTGGGTAGCTTTCAGGCGTGTAACTTGTTTCGTTGTCGTCGTCTTTCGCGGATTTTGCGTTGCACATGACACTTGTAACGCAGGAAAAAAAGAATTGAACGCCGTTCATTGAAGAAACCACTTGGTCAAGGCGAAGTCGCTTTGAAGCGATCTGATTTCTTGCGATGTAAATGTCTGTTTCACGAACTCTCCAAACAGCACGGCATGCTACCGCTTCCAACTGTTCGGTGATCTAGACGAATTTAATAAATTGACTGCATGAATTGCCGTGAATTCAGCTGCATAACATGCTATTATTGACCACAGGGCCACTACAATGAATTAAGTTTGCTCAATAAACTTACCAATGGCAAAATGTTTGCTCGAAGTGAATCCTCGATCCTTTTCGAGTCCAATTGCTTGCGAGGTCGCGGTGGCATTTTTAAAATGATGATTTAATATACTTTAAAAAACAGCTGTTTCGTAAATCGTCTGTGATTTTTAAGCGTTTGGAAGTATCTACATTTGCATAGCAACGAAGTGGAACAATATATTTTACTTTGGTCATTATCATTATCAGTATCATTATCATTATCATTATCATTATCATCATCATTATCATTATCATTATCATTATTATTATTATTATTATTATTATTATTATTTTTATTATTTATTTTTTTATCGTGCTCAAATGGTTCCTTATATGTGGTTGAACTCACCACTGGTTATGAGACAAACCTCAAAAACAACGTAAAACGGAAGAAGGATAAATATAGAGAATTATTGAGATAGCTAGGTAAAAATTTTAACCAAGTTAAATTTATAAATCTCTCCATCAGCTCTTTAGGTATTTTTGCAGAAGAATGTTATACATTTTTAGACATGTTAGATAGTATTGGTCTTGACAAAAACCACCAAATGTGCTGCGTTAGGAAAATGATGACTATTGCTATTAGAACTACATATTACATTTTCTGTTGCCGAAATAAGAAATGGGAAAATCCGGATTTACTAACAATTTGACTTATCTCATTGTATATATATATATATATTGCATGCACTTTGTTCTGTTATTTTAGTTTAGTATAATTGTGATTCAAATAGCCAACCGTAAGTTACCTTTATGAGAGAGATTTACGATTGTATATGTATGTAAAGAAAAGCATTTAATAAAGTTTCCATTATTATTATCATCATTATTATTATTATTATTATTATTATTATTTTTCGTCTAATTAATGGTTTCCCCGCGCGAACTCAAAGATGAAGTATTTCATTAATGCTCCTTGTCAACAAAAAAGATGTTTGCTGTGGAGATCATATTCATGTCAATTTAATTATTAAAAGTTGATTTTAAGTTTATTCATGTTAGTTGAATTCGTTTTTAAAAGAACAAGACGCCTGCTCAGGCGTTCACACTGGCCTGAAAATAACGACATACGTGCTATGGTGCAAAAGGCAGGAATACAAATCTTAAACCGCAAGCAAATTTTATGGACTTTTTAAAAAAATAAAAGACCTTTTCGGGAGTCATGGTGCAAATTCATAACTAGGAGTTACTATCGCAAGGAAAGTGCTGCCTTTTTTGGCATATGAACTGAATGCAAAAATTTATACTTCTAGACAATTCTCGGTTATATCTCCAATGTTTCCTGCACAAATTTGTTTCTCGTTCACCATTTAAGCCCGTTCACAAACTCATTCTTAAATTGTGTGCACGGAATACGAGTAAATAGCGAACATGAAAATGAAGCCATTGGGTCAAAAGTGGATATTAACCTATTATAGCTACCAATGCACATTACTTTAGTATTAAACTCTGGCTAACGCCAGAGCAATTTACACTGTGTAACGCAAGATGATTTTACTTGTTAGTGGCAGAGTACTGTCAGTAAATGGGTTAACAAACACTTCTGCCAATGCTCTTATTAATCCATTTTTGGCAATGCACCCTGCTTTAGTATTCTTTAGTAACTCTTCAGAATTTGCTCAGAGTCAATGTGAGTAAAATACATCTTGTATTCAAGCGCTTTTATGTACAAAGTTTCGTTTGAATACGGCACAGAGTAGGAATATTTATTTTGAATTTTTCAAAATAATTATCAGGTTTTTACTCGCACGCACGTTTATAGCTCGATCGATGCACGTGCAAATCATGCCGACCTACAGAATCGATTTCCGGTTTTTCCTAAACAGCGCGTTGTTTTGATGTGCGTTGCATGGGCCGCGCTAAAAATATAAATATTCTGTAAATACCGAAATAAAAGATGAAAATCTCAAGACACAATCTTGAAATAACACTATAAATAGTGTTTTCGATTCTGGTTCTAATAATATTATTACGAAAAAGATATGTCCAAAGGGGCCGAAGTTATGTTCGGCAAAATGTATGGCTAGTTTACATTGTTTGTTATATTATGAAATATGATACCATACTTGTATTAAAATTCGCGTCGAGCTAATGTTATTGTATTAGGCAAATGAGTAGACTTCCCACAAGTCGACCTCGAACGAAATGCGTTTCTTTGAGGTAGACTTGTGGCAAGTTTAGCAAATGAGAACCATACAATAATGGTTCTAGTTCTTGTTGGTATTTTGAACGCACGCTTATCTTTAGTATGGCTACCACAAAGCTTTTCGCGAATTCTCTTAATTCTACTACCGCGCGGATTTTAACACATGTATTTAAAGGTATATTGTCGACATTTGACTAAAACTATCGTAAGGAATTAGGAGAGTTTGTCCTTGTTTATATTCCAATATATTGTATAAATTCGCTGGGTACAAATTTATGAAATATTGGGGTTTTCGAGTCGTTTAATTTAATACAAAAAGAAAAACATTAATTCAACAGGCAAGAAAGTCCAGAGTGCGACGCAAAAATTAACACAAGTACACAACGCATGTTATGAGTCCACGACGTATATTTATAGAGCCAACAGATCACGACACTTTTGTATATAAAAAGAGCGCGTGAATTAAACAAATCACATATTATCAGCGTTGATGAAGATCCGGGCTAACGGATCGAAAGCTTTGCAGTAATAAATATCTTTACGTGGTGTTTCCACAAACAAAACCATTATATTTATAGTTGTTTATTAAAAAGTCAAACTGTCAAACCTTTAACTTGTACTTGTTTAAATATCCTTCTATATGTTGTATAAATTCGCTGGGTCCAAATTTTGTGGTTTTCGAGTCGTTACACAAAGAAAAACACATTCATTCAACACGCAAGAATGTCCAGAGTACGACACAACGTAAAATCCATAGGAAACCAGCACAATTCTTTGAAAATTTAACGAAACTGTGTAAAATATAGTTTGATCACTCTGTGAAAAGCCGCCATTGGAGTTTGGAATTGTGCGCGTGCGTACAAGTGTATGGGCTAATAAACGAAAAAGGTACCACAAGCATTGCACGAGTCAGCTGTTACGTACATATATACGAGCTTATTACTATGTTAACTAAATCATGGAATCGAGGGACTCGATGGCATTTTGGCTTAATCGCTGCACCCTGAGCCTGCGATGAGCTAACGCAATCTCGATTTCTCGACTACGAAAAAAACAGAAAAAGAGGGATTTAAGACACTTGGCCTACAGGCCAGTGTAACTAGCTAATTCATGTAAATTTTACCGTCGCGTATATTAAGTCGCTTTATTAACAAAATGCTTCGTTAATTTTCTATATTAAGGTAACTTGTTTTGCAGCACATTAAATCGTATCACTAACTCTAAAATCAATAATTCTGATTCCATCACTAACTATCGTTAACTTTGGCTAAGTATATATAATACAACCAATCCCTGCATGCCTAACATTCAGTTTAGCGTTGCGTTTCGTGAGAAGTATCATGGTGATTGCAGTTCGTGCAGTAATGCGGTTCGTGCTGAGGCGGTGCTTTTTGCCCATTGACTTCCAGCCGTTTGCAGGCAGACCATGACCAGTTCATCTATTATTGTTTTGTTCTTAATTATTTTCACAAGCGCCATAAACACTGAAACTAGAAGAGGTTGAATTTTGTCCGTTGTGAGACAGAATCCTCGATCAGTTTGTGAGTTTCTTACAGCGAAGTATTTTAAAAATAATATGTTGATAACCTTTTCTATATTTCACATGTCTCATTCCATAGATGAAAGCGTTCACGATCGAATTTATTCCATAAAATTCATAGTGAAAAACTACGAACCACATCTGCTTGCATGACTCGCTACAGGAATGGTGTAGGATAATCCCAACCACATTTGGAGTGAGGACACAGAAAACCAACACTGCAACAACAATAGAAAATGTCTTGATGTCTTTAAGAGCGCGAAAAATCCACGTATAGCCGACATTTTGTTTGCAGGTTGTCCATTGGAAGTTGTAACGGGTAGCGCTGTTTCAGCCAAGATACGTTTTCGTTGTTTCTCCGCAACAATTAAAATCCTCAAATTAAGAATTATTATTAAAGTAAGTAGTAAGCAGACAATAAAATTATCAATAAAATGATGATATATCTCATTAATTTTATTATAGCAGTAGCTCCTTATTCTGAAGTCGTATCTATAACTAACTAGTAAAACAATTAAAAGACAGCACGCAGTCAGCCAAATTCCTGAAATAGCCAGAAAAACTCGTCGTTTGGTCACAATCAGCGGATATTTCAGAGGTTTTACAATATAGAAATAACGATCAACGGTTATTGCGAGAAGTGCAGCCATTGAAGCAAACAGTAATGACCAGATGGTAGAGCGACTTAACTTACAAAACAGATCCTGATCACCATCAATGTGCAATATAGTCTGAATAAACTCGATGATCCATATTGGATAAAGTGTTAAACACACGAGAAGATCTGCCAGTGCCAAGTTTCCCACCAAGTAAGATGTCGCTGTCTTGTCTTTACTCAAGAGAATTGTATAAATTATAACTGTGATGTTTCCCAAAACTCCAACAATCATTGCAATGAATTTAAATACAATCGCTGGAAGAAGAATCTCGCCAGTTAGTGAGGGAAATTGCGTTGAGTTGTTTGCCATGGTTGTTTTTTAGTAATATAAGACATTAAGAATGACAGTTTAAAGTTTTAAGTATGCCACTGCACCTTTGAGAATGACGAAAACGACAGACACTTCAGAGTCGGAATAAAATTTGCATGCTAAGTGTGTATAACAGTCAGTAGCTACTCACGAACTTAAAAATATGTCGTACGATGACAAATTTCTGACTGAGTGTGCACATGCAGATGGCTAGCTTAAGATCATTGCTTACACCTATAGTGAAAAATGTAATATTATATACGCTATAAGTTTAGAGTAAAATTCGCGCAAATGACCTCATTGAGTAATACGCCTCACTGAAATTTAATAAAGAGTTCTATTTGAAGCATCACAAAATTGGGTTTTAATTTATTGCAAGTAAAGCATATTATTTGTGCGGGCAAATGATATTGCCGTCTATAATGACAATTTTCTGGTCATGGTAAGACATGAAACATTGAGATTTTTGACAATGTATAAATGTATAAATTTAAATTTATACCATACGGAACTACTCAAGCGACAGATACCCCTTTGTCCGAACAGTTCCGGGGTTAGGTAGAACTACACTTCAAAAGTCGTGCGTTTTTCAACCGAAATGAAATTGAGAACTGTTTTCAAGCAATTTAGCTCAAATTTGAATCTGAATTTCCTCTCTGCCGCCAAGTTTCCTACCAAGTAAGATGTCGCTATCTTTTCTTTGCTCAAGAAAATTGTATAAATTATAACTGTGCTATTTCCCGAAACTCCAATAATCATGATTTTCTGTGTTCGTGTTGTGTACTAAGGTGAATATAATGTTTGGGGTAGAACTACACTTCAGGTAGAAGTGCCGTCTTGTTTGCTTTTTATCGCCTAATCGCGCAAATATCATCCAGTTATTGTAAAGAAGATTTCAAAGAAGGTTTCATCGACTTTAGAAACAGTGCAGTGTATTTTATCTTCGATATTGTGTCATTCGATACTTCGTCAAATTGCCGCCATTTTAATGGCTCGCCGCTTCTCTGCCCGATAAATGCCACTTCTTCGTTTTCATATGTATTTAGATTACATTATCCAGGAGTACTTCATTGTAGAATAGTCCCAATCCAAAAATTGGA